CAGATTGTTGGGGGCAATATGCTGACTCTCTGTAAACCGCTTAGAGAGGCCTGAAAGGCCTATGAAGCAGTATATAAGTCCACTGCTATTGCTATTACTGCTATTTCAAAACCAGCAAATATGCAACACTGTCCCAGTTAGGTCTACATTAAAGTTATATCCTGTGGCAATTTTTCTTAAGTTATATTGGCTCTGATCGACCATTACTCGCACACCTTTTTGATGATTTTATCTCACTGGAGTTTGCCAAGGAAAGGTTATTCATAGTTCTTGGAAAGCTATTTGGTTGTAATGTTGTATCTGCCAGTTCTGCCAAAATTGAGACCATTGAAGTTAAGAAGGAGTGTATGTCATGTGGCCAGCTGTTTTTTTTGAAGTTTTTGGATTGACAATATGAAAGATGATCCTACTTTATACAGATGATCCACAAAGGGAAAATCAAAGTATAACTTAACTGTTTAATGACTAAAACAAATGCTTATTTAATTCTATGTTACATACTCAACCATTACATCAGAATATAAAGTTCTATGTACCATGCACCTAAAGGAATCCAGTTCATCTTCCTCCACAGTCTTTATATGAACACCACAAGGTCATCCCAGAATGACAGTAGCAAATCAGGCCTTCAGCAGATTCACCTGCCAGATTGTCGAGAAATTCTCCAAGCACCATCAGAAACTATTGGACTCCATGAGGCAAATCATTTGATTAGGTCCAGCCCTAGGAACAACTCAGAAGGAAGTCAATTGCACTTGGGCCAGGAAATGATCCAACCACTGCAAAGAAACAGTAGTAATGTTCCATATACCCAGATCACAGAAACCATTTTTTAAAAGAAAGACAAGGTCCAAAGTGTGTTCTACATGCAGGGGACCCAGGCATACCTAAGAGAAGCACATGGTAGCCAAGAAAGCCGTTACCTTCTGGGCCCAACTGAACCTCAGACATGGAGATTGAAATTCTTCAACACCAAAAGGCAAGCAATTGTCACCAGCAGTTCAGCAACTAGAACCAGAGGCCAAGGGAAGAACCCTATCAGTATCAAAGAAGTCAATACACCAATAGGCTTGTCTCTATAGTCCAACTTAATATATAAGCATTTTCTCCACGCCAGAAATAGAAACCCTGGTAATTGGTAAGGGTACCTAATAGATCAGTGCTACCCCTACCCCAGTCGTAATCTCTAGGCTGAAGAGGACTCCAAAACCAGCAAGGCATATTTCAGAGACAGTAATACCACTAGCATCACCTAGTTGGATCTTAGTAATACAGGTCTCCCTGCTCATTCATCTTTAAATCATGGAGGTGGTTTTCATGCAGATGTTTAACACCCCCAAGGCCAGAGATACAGTTCTGCATATAATTTGATAAAATACAAGTTTAATGTTGATCAGTTGAATCAGTTAAATCCCTTTAATATGACTATTTTCTGCAATTTTACTAGACATGTTTTTCGAAAGCAAGTCCATCTCTGTTCAATGAGATTTAATGCACACAGTATTACAATTTTTTTAAAAAAATTATGAAGTGATAATTAAAATTTAAAACTGGCTGATTTAACTCATAACCAAACAAATGTTGTCTATTTCAAGTTTTTCTCTCATTTCATAAAAATGATTTGCTTTAACTATGGGTACATAGTGTACAAAATTCTTTATAGAGGAAATCTATCTGGTCACTTAGAGTCAACACCAACTGTATCAGATAATCAATCAGTCAATCACAAGCGTATAAAACACTACAAATACCTGTAAGTTTCACTTTCTCCTTTTAAAGCCTAAAATCACATTCTCAGCTACTTGAGAGAAGATACTGTACAGCGCTTAGAGTACTGGAGAAGAATTTAGTATCTATTAGGTACAACATATGTTGTCATACAGCTGGGTAAAATGAGGTGTCTGGACTTTTAAGTTCATATACTGTATGTACTATTCACCTAAAAATCTACCTTGCTGCCATTCAATTGTGTCATGTGGCATGGCAGTCTTAAAGATATTATCCCTATGTTGTTGAAGGTCATCATGAAAATTCCAGTCTGTTGACTGGAATTCTACTTTCTCAGAGAGTCAAGGACATCTTGCCCTGCACTTGAAGTGGCATGACTGGGAGGCATCTCCAGTTGGGATGGTGCCTGATTGGACCATGTGATGGGGAAAACCTGGAAACTTTCAGATTCGGGTTTACCCAGATGTGCCAATACGGCATCTCTAATAAAATGGAACTTTGAGGAAACTCAAATCTCGGAGTCTTCTTTCATTGGGAGTGTTACTTGGATCCCTGACAATGATTACATTTCACTAAAATCAATGTGGTAGGCTCACAGAACTCATTTGAATGTGATACAAGGTTAGATAACACTGAGCTTAAATTGTGTAAGCAAATGTTTGACGAAAATGAATTCAATTGAAATGAAGTGCTAATGAGCTTTAGCGAGACTTAATCTATTTATTCAAATTTATTATAGAGTAATCTTATTTGGATTGTTATCTACTTCCTACTTGGCAGAGCAGAAGGTAAGGCAAAACACCATGTATTATATTTTGCCTCAGAACAATTTCATGTTTGGTTTAACAAGGAAATAGATAATACCGGTAATACTCTTTATTTTTCACATTTTATATTGATTAATATAAATGAATTTCCCTAATTAATATACCAATTTTTGTCAGCTATATCAGCAAGTAAATACAGCTACCAAACCTAATGAAGTTACATGTATTTTGTAGGGTTTTAATATGTGTGCAATTCCATCACGAGGTCAGGATGTCATGTGTGGATATGTGCATTTGGTTACCGTCTACAAGAATGGCGGAGCTCTTTCATTTTTAGAGACTTCAGATCTTTTCTTCATTTGTACTTGCTGAAAATGTCGTCTTTTCCCAAACACTATAGTAAAAGATTATGGTATTTTCTTGAAGAGCATATGAATATTGATAGGATTATGACTTAGCTCCATTGAATTTTAAATTTCCAAGGTTTCTCCTGGAAAGATAATTTTTTCCCTTAACTAGTTGTCAACCACTTAAAATCTTATTATAAGTTATATAATGTGTGTCAAAATCTAATTATCTTATAAATGTGATAAATTGTTCCCCTTCTTTAAGTTTGTGGACTATGTAGAGTGAGACATAAATATAGTGGATCAGACTCTATGGAGATTCTCAGTCATCTAGGTCATGGTTGTCCCAAAGGTGTTATTTCAAAAGGCAACTGTTCTTTCTTTCTTTGCATTAAAGACATTTTGCTTCTCATCCAAGAAGCCTCTTCAGTTCTGAACTTATGGTTGGATAAGAGGCAAAACACCTTCAAGCAAAAACAAAGTAAGTCCAATTGCCTTTTGAAAAAGCAACTTTGGGACACCTGGATGAGAACCAAATTTTAGAGGAGTAACATTAAGCTATAGATAGTCCTCATGTAGCAACTGCAATTGATTTCGGTGCCTGAGTCATTAAGTGAAGTCATCACTAAAATGAAATTCAGGTCACTTTGATTACAATTTTATTTCAGCTTTTCCTTTGCTTTGCAGTATCAGAATCAGGGGTGGGTTCCTGCCAGTTCCAATCTCTTCTATAGAAGAGATTCCACAAATCTACAGTGCCATTTAGAACTGGTTCCAGTTCCTTCTCCCCGCCCATCCGCCCATCATCAAGATGAAGAGTGAGAGGAAGAATTCTGGGAATTGAAATCCACAAGTCTTAAAGCTGTCAAGTTTGAACACCCCTGGGGTTTTTTCCTAAAGGGTTAGGGGTGCGAGGGTCTTGTAACTTGACAGCTTTAAGACTTGCGTGCTTCCAAAGTCAGAGTTTCTGAACCAACATTTTGGTTGCTAAGCAAGAGCGTTGTTAAGTGGGTTTCACCACATTTTACAAGTTGGCCACGCCCACCCAGTAACATGACTGCCAAGCCACTCCCACCTGGTCACATGGCTGGCAATCCACTCCCACAAAGCAGGCCACACCCACACAAGAGGTTCTAAAATATTTTGAAACCCACCACTGATCAGAACGATACAACTCCAAAGAGCTGGGTGACCCCAAATGACAGGAAAGTTTCTGGAACTCAATTTACAACCAAGCTGGGTAAAAGGGCAATCTTATAGTGTTTTCCCCCACTAGTGGAAACATTCACCCAGAATGGGGAAAATTACCAAAAAGAAAATTAATATCTGAATTTATATTCATTTTAGCAGAAGAAATTACAAGCAAATAAGCAGACACAGAACAGGGAGTTCAGGTTGAAAGAAGTATATAAGTGCCATCTGTTCCTGCTTAGGAACAAGCAAAAGCCTTCAGTGTAAAACTGATTAGGATACTGCCATTTTCAGCCAGCAGTGCCACCAGGCCAGAGGGATCTAATCAGCTAATGAAGGTTAAGCTTGTTAACTCGCAGTTAGCAGTTTTTAGGGATGCCCTGTATTGCAGATAAAAGCAATTCAGGAAGAGATGGCTTGTTTAAGCAATCTCTCTGCTCTGGGGGATGAGGAGGGGAGGAAAAAACTGATGAGGCATAGGACAATGCAATACTGTCCTGCAGGTATTTGTTGTTTACCAACTGCCTCGTTGAACAATTATTCCAAGTTACAACAGAATAATAAAGCTTTTCAGCCCTTGCATTTATGACCATTGCAGAATCCCCATATGATTGCCATTCAGACCTTTCACAACCAATGTGCATTTATGACTACTGCAGTGCCCCAGGGTGAAGTGATTACCATTTGTGTGCTTCATAACTGATGTGAACAAGCAATGATAAGCAGGGTTGTTAGAGACAGCGGAGTTCAAATCAAAAGTCATGGCAATGTGGTTTCACTTACTGACCGGTGTTTCTCTTAATAATTGAAAGGAAAGTGAGGTCATATGCCATTACGGTCCATGATGTTTTGCTTAATGACCATAGTACTTAGTGACAGTCACAATTGTGGTTGCTAAGCAAGGATTACTTGCTGGCTACTACCCGGGGAAGGGCCTTCTCTGTGGCGGCTCCGGCCCTTTGGAACGAACTCCCCGCAGAGATTCGGACCCTCACCTCTCTCCAGGCCTTCCGAAAAGCCGTTAAAACCTGGCTGTGTTCCCTTCCCCTCTCGAATCGTGTGGCTGTTGGTTGTTTTTAAATGCCCTGTATTTTTGTAGTTTTTGTGTTTTTCCCCTTCCCTTCCTTGGGTTTGTGAGCCACCCTGAGTCCCGCAGGGAATAGGGCGGCATATAAATAAAATGAAACTCGAAACTCGAAACTCGAATATGTGACACACACATACTGCAAAGTTCGTAAACTATACATTCATCACTATTGTAATTGAAATGATCATTGTTTGACGCCTGTACTTGGTTCAATTTATCTGAAAGGCAATATATTAGAGAAGGCTGGTATGGACATTTAAAATAGTTAAAATGAGCTGTCCTAGAGTTATCTGCAGTGAAATATTTGTACTTACAAATGTCTAAAAAGGATGAATTTTGAAAAATATATATGAATGAAATTAATCATTTTCAGATTTTGCTTTGTATACCTTCTAGCCAATGAAGTCTGTTATGAAACAATAGGCTGCTTTTCTGATAAACCCCCTTGGTCAGGAATACCTGGGAGACAGCTGTTCGGCTTACCAGCATCTCCAGAAAAGATGAATATTTCTTTCTCACTTTTCACAAAAGAAACTGGAAATCTCTCACAAGTATGATTATTATTAATCTGATTTCAAATTACTTACTTTGCAAATATCTATTTTTTCCTCTTTCATATAACCCAGAAACAGGTGAATTTATTTTTTAGATTGGCCAATTAGATGGATAAAAATGTATACTGAATAAAGTATTTTAAAATGTTAGTTGTAGATCAATGCATTATAGTTATTAAGCCAGCAATTGTCTGAATTAGTGTCATTCAATGCACTGAGTTATCTAAAATACCAAACTGGCTAAGTTTTTTGGTTGTTTTCTTGCCATCTGGATAACAGCAATGGAGTGATAGACTTGTTCCATGTGTTAGTAAGAGAAACTGTGAAGTTAATTGGTAAGTTGTCAATTGGAAGAAGCCAGAGACATCTGTTTGTAATAGTCTATGATTCTAGCTACAGTACATGTAACTAAAAGATATACAATACGTGGCTTCAGACTTTAAGAACAGCTTTTACCAATTGCCTAGACTTGGAAATAAATGGAGAAAGAGCCATTGAGCCCACTCATATACATTTATTTCTCATTAAAAATATAGAAGCTGGTTAAGTTTGGCTTATAAAATATAGGGCCAAGAAAATATGTTATATTCTTTGATTAAAAAATGTTAGACATTTGAAAGAATTTGTTATATCATTATCTTTAAATTCCCCTGCAGAAAATAATGTACAATGAACTATCAAGTGTCCAAAATTCTAAATTCTCCCCATTGAGGAAAACCCGATTTGTTATCCATGGATATACAAGCACTGGAAAATATGGCTGGGTTGTGGAGATGTGTTTGGTATGAGATTTCTTTATTCTGGGGGAAAGAGGGGAAATTTTTAATATGCCTCTTTTGCTTAACAGATATATGATTTATGTCAGGTGACCAGACTTTTGGCGGGGCAGTCCCGATTTTTAACAATTTGTCCTGCCTCCCGCGGTGTTTTTAAAAAGTCCTGATTTTTGGAAAGAATGCACGACAAGTAGTATCTCAGTTTCACTCCAAAGATTTTGAGAAATCCACCGATGACTTCTGACTATGCTAGCTGAGAGTTTCCATTAGAGGCTGCCTGAGCTGCTCCCTCCCATTGGCTGGTTGCTTGGGGCCACGACCCTCCCCTTTTGCATCCCTATTGGTGGGCGGGCCTCACCGGCTCTTTTCCCACCCATCCCCGCCCCCACGAAGCATCCCCACCGTTCGCTTAATTGTTGCCGTATGGTCCTGGAAGGGGTGTAGTGAATTCTCCTATGTTGAATCAGGTTCCCACACTTCCAAATGGAATTCATTCTTACCGTTCCCTCTTCAGAGAGTTAACAAAGGGTGAGAGCCCCCCGTATGGGCAGATGGGAGAATTTCTAAGCACTTGCCGTGGGTGAGTGGGCGAAAGGGCATCGGCGGTGCTGCCAGGACTCGCTGTGCGAGGGCGAGGGAAGAGTGGGGCGGGGCCTGAAGGAAGCTGGAGGGAGGGGGCTCAGAGGGAGGGGGAGCCAAGATGGTGGCAGCTGGGGAGGAGGAGATCTCGCGGCCACCGCTGCCACCAACGCCACCAAGGAATTGCAGGATGAGGTGAGGCCAGGCTGGGCCCAGCAAGGCTCCTTCCCAGGAGGGGCACTTCCGGGCATTCAGGGGTGGGGGTGAGAAGGAAAAGGGGGGCGGAAGAGCCGGGAGACGAGGCCGGCTTTTGGGGAGGCAATCTGACAGGTCAAGGAGGGGGGGGCGAAGGGGGACCCTCCGCTTGAGCCTTGCTGAGACTCCAGACTACACCACCCATTGCTCTCCGCCAAGCCTGTTGGCGCCAGGATTATACTCTCCCATTGTCCACAGCAGCAGCCCCCCCCTTTGTATTAGTTTCCACTCCCCCTCCCCATATCTGTATGCCTTTGACACCCAACCCTATATTCCTTATATTTCTTTCCCCGGCCTTATGCTATGTTCCTGGGATTACAATTCCCACCATCCCCAACCTCACACTCCCCCCCCCGGTCAATGGTGTCCCACTTTACCAATGTTAAAATCTGGTTACCTTAGGTTTACGTCATGGGTTGGCAATCTAGAATCCATCCAATATTTTCATTGGTTTCTGTAAAATAATCATTTTTATTTATAATAATGCACTTGGATCATTTACTGGGTTTTGTTGTTTTTCTTTCCTTTGTGAAACTGGAGTGTTTTTATTTTCATGAGTCATAAGATTTCAGTAGGCATATCAGTTGCTACTCATAAAGCACTATGATGTTTATTATATGTGCCGATGAACAGGAAATTGGTAGATGAACCAGGACTGTGTGGCTTGGGGCTGAATTACAAATCCCTGTGGAACTTAAGAACTCAGTGACCAGGTATTTTTTAAAGGATCTATTTTGTTGACATTAATCATCCAAATGTAATTTTTTTTAATACATCACTTCGATGCTATAGCTTCTGGTGGATGTGGAAGACATTAACTGTTTTGCTGTTGACTGGGAAGATGGAGCTAAATGCACCTATTTCATTGCTGGCAGCAATATCCGTGTTCTTGGAGCAGTCATAGCTAAATTTATCATTACTATGATGGTGAGATTTTAAGTTAAATATATTATGAAACATCAAAGGCCCTGATACTACCTGCAGAAATGACATACTTTCGATCTATTTACCAACATAACTGTATCAGTTGTACAAAGTAAACTTAAAATCATTTTATACATTAAAATAGGAATATTTAGATCAAGCTCTAAGCCAGGAGCCACTTTAAGACCGTGGACTTCAACTCCCAGAATCCCACAAGTCTTAAAATTGCCAAGGTTGAACAGCATCATGCATCTTTTCAGAGTCTCATATGAACTAGTATGTTCAAATCTAGAATAAAATTAATGGTAATTTTTCTAGATCTATAAATTATTTAATTTTGGAGTACTATATTGCAATTCCATACAATTTTAATGGGTGAAAAAAAATTGGCAAGAATATTCACTTTAAACCATGGGTCAAAGTCTGTCTGATGGTTGTTTATATTTTGAAGCTGAGTAGCTGTAGAGAACTATGGTCAATGTAATCAACATCATTATGATTCCTAAAAATAGGTCACTATTATTACAATACAGGAAAACATCTGCTTCATCTGCAAATTGTAGGAATGTTGTTTTACTTGCTAATTATTCTCCCCTTTCTTAAATTACTAGAAAATCTATCAGTATTGTCCTTCCAACATCCACCTCATTGGCCATAGCCTCGGTGCTCATACTGCTGGAGAGGCAGGAAGACGACTTCAATATGTTGGCAAAAAATCTCCTGCCATTGAAAGAATAAGTGGTATGCTATCCAAAGTTTCACACATTGCAATCTTGATTGAAAGACAGGAAGTCTTGAAGTGGAAGTCAATCAATCAGGGGAACGTATCCAGGTTAAAGAGAAAATAAGTTATTTTTGATAAGTCTTAGCATTCCTGAAACATGAATTAAGCATTCTGCTTAAGAAATGCTGCTAATATTTTCATAAGCACAATTTCCATTATCCATTCTTTATATGTATATAATGTGCCTTTTGAAATTGGACATGTTGGCTGTAATTAATGTGAGTTCCAGGTGTAGCTATAAAGGAAGAGACATCTCCGGAACTTAAAATATATTATCCAATTAGCTTTCGTTAGCCTCTGCTAACATCATCAGAGTGTAGAAACTACTATTGAAGAGATATTTGTCTTTATGCATCATTTATCAATTTGATCATTTTGCCTAGGCCCATCCACCTGCTTCCCACCTGTAATTAGCTCTGTCATTTTTGCCTCAGACATGTTAATTGATGGAGGCTTAGATCTTGTTGCTTCCTCCCCTATCATGCACATATGTGTTTATGTGTGTACACATACGCATACACATATAATACATAAACATATATGACAGCATTAATTGCAGCCAAAATGCCCAATTTCAAAAGGCAGCATGCAAGAGTCATGGTGGCGCAGTGGTTAGAATATAGTATTGCAGGCTAATTCTGTGACTGCAGCAGTTCGATTCTTACCAGCTCAGCCTTCCATGTTTCCCTGGTCAGTAAAATGAGGAGCCAGATTGTTTGGGAACAATAGTCTGACTCCATAATCCAATTAGAGAGAGTTGTAAAGCACTCTGAAGTAGTATATATGTCTAAGTGCTAATGCTATTTATCTCCTTTTTTATCTCCCAGTTTCAGCCTGGTGGAGACTGTTCCTATTTCTACCCTTTCCCATTAAGTAAAGAAGCTAGTTCAAGAGTCTAATGATATCTGTTTCTAATTTTCACTGAAGAAATTAATTAGAAGAATAAGAAACAGGTGTAACATTTTGTTCTGCTGACATAAAAAGCTGGATAGCCATGCAGGAATATTGAATTGGCTCTGGCCATATACACATATCTTGTTATGCTATTACACCATTCCATCTCTCTTGTTTTCCTTGCTTTCTATTTGTTTCTGTACTAGACACTCTGTTCTGGCATTGTTTTGTTTTAATATTTGGGAAAGCTACAGAGTGGGTTGCAGTTGCAGCTGGTATTTTTTTCTTTGTTTTTCCTATATGGCTTTTTTTTTTAATAAAGAAACGTTAGAACATGCTGAATATAGATACAAAATTTAGATGCCCTCCATTTTGAAGGATAATAGTCAATTGGACTGAGATAGGTAACTATACAAATAGAATAAGGGCCTTCTGTACAAGATATTAGTAATCTGAACATTCCCAAAAAATTCCATTCCTTATTACCTTTATGGCACTTTAAGGACAAGGAAAAAAAATCTGCCAGTATGCAGCTCTTAAAGGGTAACTTACAAATCTTAAGGAGCAAAGACCAAAGTTTTGTATATCCTTTTATTTACCATCAAGAGAAATCAAGTAGTACTTCAGACTATATATGTGTTTCTAATGCGTCCCTTTTCTCAGAATTCCAGGTTTATGTAAGAAAGAATAGTGACCACCAACCGATTGTTAATTTCTGTGGGTGTCAGATCGCAGACCCCCACACCACAATTGATAGATGGGTTTCATTTCATCTAGAGATCCACCAGGACAGAAAGATAAAATGGGCCAGAGTGGATATGATGGATTTGACTGAATACAGGAAATCTGATCAAGCCTTGATTCTGGTAAACACAGTTACCTCACCTTGTACAGATGCCAGCATTGTACATATAATCTGTAAAGCTAAATGAAAGTCTAGAAAATTCTTAACATAAAAGCTTCTACCTAGAAAGTCTCAGTTAAAAGGCCCTCATTGGTTTGATTCAGAGTACGGTTCCCTGAGAAAAATATGCATACAGCATGGAGTTATACATCAAATAATAATTATTTTGCTATGCTAGCATTCAAGAATACCATTGAGTTCAAGAATCTTGATTACTTGTCCTTTCTTTGATTAAATTTAGAGTCAGCAACCAAAAATCCAAATCCAGCCTTTTTCTGGCACTCAGTTGCAGGACTATTATGGGAAGGTAGTTCTCCATGGACACCCCTATGCCTGCTTCCATATGGGAGGAATGTTAATAGTCAATTATTCAGTCACGCCTAAGGGTAAGCACAGGATCCCTACCAAGAAAAAATAGCACCAACAAAGGAGACAAAGAAGGCTGTATACTGGCTCCCATTCTGTTTAACCTTTACATCAATGACATCCCAATATCCTTCACTCTTCCGATGTGCATATTTAAAAAAACAAAAATATAAATATTCTGTTTTATGCACAAATGACATGGTATTGATGCCACAAATCCAGATAGGGATGGGAAGACTATTGGGGCAGGTTTAGTACCGACTGTACACCCAATTATCTGAAAACCAATAATTCCAATACTAAGATAGCTGTTTTCAGAAAGTGAACCAGGTATAATTGGACCCTAGAGTCGGAATGCATAGAACAAGTCAAGTCCTATTTATACTTAGAACTTGTTTTCACAGAAACAGGTTCCAGGCTCGCATATTTTAAGAGGAGTTCTTCAAGGGTTACAGCCTGCACCAATACCAAAAGGCAACTTATCAACCACACCTACCCAGATTCACTAATTCCAATCATAAAGGTATACAATAGCAAACTGGTCCCAATGACCACATGTGGCACTGAACTGTAGGGATATATAAATGCCCCCTTATAGGAACAGATACAATGTACTTTTCTGTAATGTATGTTGGGATTGGATATCTTTATGTCAGCCCCAGAAGTAAGGGCAGAGTTGGGTTTATAAAGCCATTTAGTAATTAAAGTATTTACTTATTGTCTGAAGATCCTATCCATGGACCTAGATAGACTATCGATGCTGTATTTTGAAGAGCAACTACACAACAAGCAACCTTGCACTGGGCCATCCAATTTTCAAATGTTATCCCTAAATATGGATTCTTCATCCAGTTTCCAGTCCAAAGAGATCTAAAGGTTGAAGAAGCTTTCAAACAGAGAGTTATTGATGTGGTTGCCCAAGATGATATTGCAGCACTTAAAAGTCTCAAATCTCTGAAGGGCTGGTTCATCATAAATCAATTAGAAAAATATTTAACAACTTAAGTACATCTCAACATCTCAGAAGAGCTCTTTCTAGAGCTTAATTCAAACAACTGGATTCCATAAGACCCAGGAGGTTTCATGGAGTCTCAATTGAAGACAGGTTAGTTATTTGTGGAGCACCAGCCATTAAAGAAACGGGAAACATTCTTGTCAACTGGAAATTGAACTCCTTGGAAAGGGTTGCTTATTTAGGACTTTATTTAAAAACAGAAAAATATTGGGGCAGCTAGGAGAAACAGTCTTCTTGGAGGAAACAAACCTGCACATTCTCACATAAGGAGTCTTCCTTATCCTTCATTCCAATGGCATCTGAAAGAGGACAGAATACCTTGATTAGTTTGGAGTTCACTGTAGGGGTAACAATTTATTGGGAAGTTCTGTTTTCTTTTTAACTATTTTCAATTTGGATATGTTTTATATATTTGATATAATCAGTTGACTTAATAAAGTTCTTCCATTTTGTCTTGTACAATTTTATCTTATCCTTTCACTTTATCTTACCTACTATGGTTTATTCTATTTTATCTCATGGTAGCTGTTTTATCTCACATCACTATATCTCATCTCATTTTCTTGTACTTTACTCTGGCTGATGCTCACATTTGATATGGTCAATTGACTAAATAATAAATAAATGAATGAATTGCAGTCAACCTGACTTACCAGTACCAATAGTGGGTCACTGTAGCTATGGTTTCAAAGTTCAGCAGTACAGTTCTATGTACTTTTACCTGATTATTTTAACTGAAGCAAATCCTATTTACATGTGAAATTGTTGATAGATTTATCATTGCCATATGGACAATATTAACATGTGTTTGTGATTGCACACCTTGTTTCTTATGCTAAATGGAATTAATCAAAATGCATTGCAATATAATGGCCTTCTTTTATGTATTTTTATAGATTCATTATTACCAGTCTATTGTAGGACTGTTGATGTGCATTTTCAGTCCAAAAGGAATATGCATGCATGCATACATACGTATATATTCCAATTCTTTGTGGAGTTAATATTTTTCTCTATATAGGTTTAGATCCAGCAGCGGTGGGTTTTGAAGGATTCCCTGAGATGGTCCGGCTAGATCCTTCTGATGCTGGATTGGTGGATGTCATACATAGCAACGGTGTCCGATTTCCTTTAGGTAAATGGCCAGATACAACTGAATCTTGTGATAGAAGCAATAACAGTGATTAATCATGTAATACATTTTGAATTTATTACAGGACTTGGGATGTTTAATGCAACTGGTGATATGGACTTTTATCCCAATGGTGGAAAGCGTATGGTTGGATGTAATGATGTAAAAGAGGAACAGGAACAGGAAGGTAAGGTAACCCTATCTTCATTTTCCTAAAGGTAACCCTATCCTCATTTTTCTAAATGTAACCCTATCCTCATCTTCAACATTTACATTCATAAGCATTATACTGCCAATAAAACTCTAATCCAGACCAAGTCTCTTAGGATTGGGTAGATGAATTGCTCTGATTGCCCATCAGGATTGGGTTACAGGTTTTTTTTGAAGTCAGAAGCAATGAGCACACCAGTATAAGTATTTAAGGCTTTATTCCAATGCAATATGAGAAAATAACAACATAATGTTCAGAACTACTAAAGGTATGAAAGAAGAAAAGAAAAAAGAATGATTGTATGCTCCTTCTGCTAATAACTCCAAATTTTGGAACTCCAAAATGATAACAGACAGCAAAGCCTTTCAAACAAGTGACTATACAGCACCGTTCCAATGAAATCTCCATCTCATGGGCATTTCGGGCAAGTTAATATGGACTCAACTGTCATTAATCACACCTATTTTCATTAACTTTATCTGATTTGGTTCAACAAGGACAAAGAGGAAAGGTTTCCCTTACCTTGTTCTTGAAATGCTTCACCTACTCCTGCCAACAATGAGGCCATTCTAAGGATAAGGAATATTTATTTATACTAGGTGATTTATAGCAAGAATGAGAAAGATCATTTCCCTCTACATGGGGTTTCATACCAAGGACAGAAGCAAACAGATAAATGTTTAATTCTATTATACTGAACATATTCAACCGTTAAAATAAAAGTATGGCTTTCTATGCACCCTGTACGGAAGGGAAAGAGATACACATCATTATCCAATTCATCTCTATCAATCTTGCAGCAAACCCCCCATATTCACACCTTAGAGGCTGGACCTCACTGCCAATTAGCAAGATAATTTATTTGAAGAATAATGAAAAACAAAACAGAATAATGGACACAAATCCCCAGTAAACTAGGACAAACATCATTTGAAACAATACTCTTCTAAAAATAAATAATGTTTTTGTGCACTGAACCTGTACTCTTTAAAAATATTATTTTGTCTGCCAAGGAATTCAGGAGATGGTCTATGCAATCATCCATGGAGGAAAAGGTAGAAAAAGATTTATGTGTGATATATGTTTGAAGTCTATCACACCAATTTCATTTTCCACTAAAAATCAAAGTGCTATTATTTCACATTTTGGGGTGACAATCGTGAGAGGTTCTGGTGGTCCAACAAAGAGGGTGAAAGGGCCCCATTTAGCCTATTAGGCAGCATAATATTTTACTAAACAAGTTATCTTAGGCTTTTATCGGGTTCCCAACCAATAGCTACCATGATATTACATTATAATTCCTTCTCCTTCTAATTTATTCATACTCACAATAATGTACTCATTTGATTTATATTCCACCTCTTCTCCATGAACTTAAGGTGTCCCTTTGTTACTTTTATCCTCACAATAATATCCCTCTGAAGTAGTGTGGGCTGAAAGATAGTAAATGAGCAGGAGCTTAGCATTTTAATTAAAACAAATCACTTGCAACAGACAAAGCAGATCAAAATGACATTGTGCTTAACTTTAGCTGTTTTCATCCTGAATGCAATCAGGCTTCCATTATAGCAAGCAATGATAGAGTTATTTCTTTTGCTAGATATTCGTTCGGTTGGAAATTGCCATCACTCACGAAGCCATGAGTACTACAAATACAGCATCGTCCACCCTAGTGGGTTCCTGGCCTATCCCTGCAAATCATACAAATCTTTTCAAGCGGTAAGCATGCTATTCTGCCCTGGTTCAAATCCAATTAGCTTCTTTAAATAGGTTCATTCAAAGTATAAGCATGGCACTATGTGCTGGAGTTCATTTGTATTAAAGTTCAATATAACTAAAGAACAAATCCACATTTTTTAAGGAAAAACAAATCCATAACATCTAAGCTTTTGTTCTTGGCATAAGGCCTCAACTATGTGACATGCCACAAAATGTTGAATGTGTTCACACAATACATTTCCCTCAAAATAACCACCAGTTCCAGGTTTTAGTAGGAAATTCCTCTCCTGCACACCATTATCTTCTTGCAACTGCTGTTTCTTCTACTCACTTCCCGAAAGCTGGACTGAATGAGTGCGCTTGCTGCAAATGTAAAAGGATTAGCCACAGGCCAATCCTTGTGGGCAATAGTGGATATCGTATCAAAAGGGGGTGATGGCAGGTGTCCTTACCACTTTCCCATATGTAGAATCAGGCATAAATCTATCTGTACAAACCACCTTCCTGTGACCTATCGTTTAGAAATTAAACTGTCACCTTAACCTTTCCCTGTCAGTGGGTTAGTGGTAGGGGGAGGGAGGCATTAGTAATAATGAATAACTCAAAGCAACCAGGGAAGCCAATGGAGCTGAAATACACATACAACAGTTCATTTAGTGACTTAAAACAATTCATTTAGTGACCTTCAAAGTTAGAACATTGAAAAAATGAGTTATGACCATTTTTCATACTTAGTTGCAGTATCTCCATGGCCACATGATTAAAATTCAGACGCTTGGCAACTGATTCATATTTATGACGGTCGCAGTGTCCCAGGGTCATGTGATCCCCTTTTGTGACCTTCTGACAAGCAAAGTCAATGGGAAAACCAGATTCATTTTACTGCAGTTGTTATTAATTTAACAACTGCAATGATTCACTTAACGACTGTGGCAAGAAAAATCATAAAATGAGGAACTTAACAACTGTCTCACTTATCAGCAGAAATTTGGGGTCATAAGTGGAAGATTACCTGTAATCACATCTACTATTTGCAGTTTGAGGTGCTAAGCCAGGATTGCAGTGCATACTTGAACGTACAATAAAAATTATAGTGGAAACAGTGAAAAGACTTGAAAAAAGGTTTGGAATTAATCTATTTTATCCTAGGGAAATTGCTTTCCATGTCCCACAGAAGGCTGCCCAGTAATGGGTCACTATGCTGATCAATTCCATGATAAACTGAAGAAAAGAAATCAAACCTACTATCTAAACACAGGATCTAAGGAACCCTTCACCAGTGAGTACATAAAGTATGTCTGAATACTCATGTAACCAGTGAATCTGCAAAGAAACCTACTAATTTAGGATTGATTGTGGTTGTCAGTACCAGGGTCATGTTTCTAAAATTTAAAACTGTATAAGGAGCTATAACTTTCTATTTATTATGTGTAGCATGAACTGGAATTATCATGCACGTTCATGCTGACAAGATTGTAAGAAATTGTCATGTTTTCTTACCTGGATGCCTTCATGGAGATCTCACTTCTGTGTTTGAGGTTGTAAGGAATATATGACTAAATTCACAACCAATGTCTTTTGACAAATCTGGAAATTTAACTACAGTAAATGATTAACTATAAAACTAGATCAATTACTTATCCTGGCTGGTCATATGCAAACATAGCATACGTATATTTTAGGAGGCACTTCTAGTCTCTAAATTTGGAAAGACATACTGCCACAATTTATCTTCCAAGAAAAAATAATCCTATTAGAATTTCAACAGTCAGCAATTAATCTTTTTATATATAGGATGAGTAAAACATGTTTAAGGAGTGTCCCAAAAGTGCTTTTTCAAAAGGCAACTGGACTTTGTTTTTTCCTTGAAGATATTTTGCTTCAGCTCTGACTAAAATCAGTCAAAACTAAAGAAGTCAGTCAGAACTGAAGAAGTTTCTTGGATGAGAAGAAAAACATCTTTTAAAGAAAGCAAAGTTCAGTTGCCTTTTGAAAAAGCATTTGTGGGATAACCATGACTGTGGGATAACCATGACCTGGATGACTGAGTATCTCCATAGATATGTTTAAGGGTACACACAAACACACACACACACACACACACACACACACACACACACAGACGTATATTTTTCTGTACGAGCTACTTATAGCTTGTCTATACGAGATTCTTATGTTCTTCAAAAAAAAAAAGGAAATGTCTTCTCATTGGAATGTTCTGCTTGATATCCTTTGTTGAAACCTCATTTGATTCCACATTACATCCTTTTCAGTACTTCACTATTTCCCAAGGTGGTTCAAATTTGAATTCAGAGGAGAAACATATCTAGGCTTTACAATATTTGTATGGTGCTAAATATCTCATTTTTCTTTCATTATGCAAAAATCCACTTTTGAATGAAGGTGCGATATTTAATTTTTTTTAAAAAAATAAACACATGTTTGAATACTATATATTTAAATTCTTGTTTTCATATCCCAGCCCTTCAAACTGTTATAATTGAAGATAAGGGATGATATTAAATTGAGTTTGTGGGTAAGATTACCATCAATTAAGACAAAATAGATAATATCTTCTCTTAAAATTATATTCCCTCTAGGATAATCTGCCAGATGGGAAGTATTGCTAATGGGCTGGGGAAAGTAAAGTCCTTTGAATATTATTTATTAAAATGTCTTAAGATTCTTTAACATTATAAACTTTTTTAACAATCATTTTTTCCTAGTTCTTATTTTAATCTCATTAACAAAAATGAATACCCTTGCCTAATTATATTTCATACCTAGCTATTTTGTATTTATCTAACTGTTGCATTTACAACAAATGTGTCTTATTACCTAGGTTGGCGATATAATATATCTGTCAAATTAAATGGAATGAAAAATGTAAGAGGAGAAATAAATATAGTTTTCCACAATAAAAATGGAGATATGAAGGAATATCCGATTATGAGGTATATATGCTTTCTTGTTACAGATTTTGTTAATTTTAGAAATAATTATATCAATAATTCAATTAAGAGTTTTTCATATTTATTACATATAGAATACTTCCAAAGACTTCTACACATCCTAGCTCCTAATTCAAGGATTAGGTCTGTTTTATGAAATAACAAATTAAAAAGGTAGTAACATACTCCATAAGTGATGTAAAAGAAATTAGAAAGTGGGAAGCGAAGAAGTTAGGAGTGTTGTCCTTTTTTCAACAATAAAAGGATGTAGTTTGTAAATTCTGTTTTAATACCTGATGAAATGGGCTATAGAATCAGCTTTCAGGGAGATGAAAACTTCATGTGCGGCAACTGTGCATATGAAGTCAGACACACTGACACAAATTTGTAATTTTATATAAATAAATATTTTTTACATTTATATTTATAGCAGACAAGATAGTCAGGAACACAGGAACATCATGAGGTAAATCAAACAGCATACAGAACACACACAGAAGAAAAAGGTGAGGAGAAAAATTAAAATTCTCCTTTATACCCACAGCAACCAATCATAGTGTAGATTGCTTCAGCATGAGCCAATCAATCAACTACAACTGTGTATTCTGGCCCATGACACACTTTACTGTTCCAGCTATTAAATTAAATATCCTAACCCTCATCCAATCTGAATTATTTCAATGAGATAAATTGTGAATGAGCAATATTAATATCACAGAATAATTAATTGTGAAGTTATATTAAAAAAAACTATCCTGATGCTCTGTAATTTCTTCAATCATATTTTTACAGCGGAAACCTTAACCGTGAACAAATCTATTCAAAGCTCACAGACGTAGAAATTAATCCAGAAAATGCTTCAAGGATTGAGTTTGTTTGGCACAAGCAATTCTTTACTTTCTTTTGGGCTCAACTAGGAGCAGAAAAAGTAAATCTTACCCGTGGGCAGGATGGGCGCAAGTAAGTATAGCCATACTTAATTTTCGTGATTCATATCAAGCTTTATTTGATAGCCCAGGGGGGGGAAAAATCCCAGGATTGGATTTGAGCAAGGAATTGGGATTTGAACATACTGAAATCCACTGTTTTTGGAGGGAACTATTGATCTGCTATTCTGAAATGCTAGAGTGAATACATAAGCATGAACTACATCCCCTCTTGCTACGTATGCAGTTAGACTTCTTTTTACTTTATTTATTTGTTAGCTGGTTTTGTTCAAGGAGGGTTATTGTAATTATAAAACTATTGATCAACAGATAAATAAGCAGTATAAATTAGAAGCAACATCTCTGAAACAATGCAAAATAAGAACAACCTCTACGAGGTTGCTGAGATTTCCAGTTCAGAATACTCTTCCAATAATTTTTCCTTTGTCACCTACCAAAACATTTCTAGAGTTATGAATGGGGAAGAAAGCTCAGAAAGTCTAGCATGAAGGGTTCGGAGAACCAAGTTTTCTTCTGATAGACCCTCTATCACAAGAACACCCTGAATATTTTGTAATGTGCACTCTTGTATTATAAATCTTTCTCTTGTCCAGTCAAAAATCTAAATCTTTAACCTTTGTATATAATCAAAAAATGGATTAAGAGATGGAAGCTAACTAACACATGTAGGATTTATATAAGGATATTTTTTTTCCCCTGTCGCTTCTTCTAGGACTTCCCTTTGTGGCCAGGGAACAGTAAAATATGAAGTTCCTCAAATGCTTACACCTTGTGGAATACTAAAGGAGGCATAATCATAAATTGTAAGAGTAATGAGGAACAGCTTCTTCATGTGGCCTCTGAAAGAGCTTGATGGTTTGAAGTATGATTTATTAGAAAAATCTTCTGTCGTTTCTTTTCATCGTCTCAGCTCGGAACACAATCATCATAATTGTTTTAGGTTTAATAAAATAATAGGTATCAATTTGTTTCAAAAGAAATAAAATAGGCATAAAGTCTGTGTGTGTGTGTGTGTGTAGAGAGAGAGAGGAAGAATGAACTATGAAAAAAATAATGAATGCTGCTTAGGATATGGAGTATTACTTGACAAGACACTTCTTTGTAAATTTGCTTTTTAATTTTATGCATCTGATGAGTTTATGTTTATAAAGTAAACAGTGAGAATTTGCATCATTCTCTTATTTCTCAGAGGTTTTGTTTAGATTGTTGGGAGCAATATGTGTTCTGACCTAGGATTCCTGAGACAGTAAAAAGCACACGCTTAGTCCCCAAAACCTTCTTTTCATTTCAAGGGCTGTGAATTAGTCACAATTAGTTTGTAAAGAGTCCAACAGAAATCTGCCAAAGTCTCTGGGATAAAGCTGATAAGCACCCACCTTTATCTCCCTTGAAACCCTGCCAAAGACCTAATTGGCAATTAGCAATGCAAGGCAACACTGAACACAGAATCAAAACAGAGCTTCAGACTTTAAACTGACCAGAACGAACAAAGTTGCTTCCTGCAAAGGCCCACATGCCTTTGTTCTTCCTTTATGTCGTATGGGAGGGGCCAATCATCTCCAAGCCTTACTCCCGAGTCATCCCTTTTGTCTTAACTGTTCTTGCCTTCTGGTAGCTCTGTGCATATGCGCACTGGGAACAGGCTCCCCTGTTCCTCTGCATCGTTGATGTCTGACTCTGGAGGCTCCGGAGGCAGCACATAACTCTCAGGTAGCCCTGGCTCCCTCTCTGCCTTTGATGCAGAGCCCTCATCCAAACCTTCCCCAGACTCCAGGACTGGCCCATGTTCCTCCCCAACCTCCCCACTGTCCGACTCTGCTGCCAGCTCCGCAGGCTGCTGGTGGACCATAACAATATGCTGATTCTGTAACCCAATTAGAGAGGGCTGTAAAGCACTGTGGAGTGGTATGTAAATGCTATTGCTATTTCCCTGCTTGATAGGGCAAAGAATGTATTCAGATGAATTACAAGATATTTATCAGTTTTCTTCATTTATGGTGCAAATAGCAACGAAAACATTAAAGACTTGGATTCACGGTTCCTTTTATCTATCCCCAGGTTTGATCCCATGCTTTCTTTTAAATCTTTCCCACAGCAGACATTCCTCAAATATTAAAAAAAAATGAGTCTTTAAGGAAGTTTTCCAACATCAGAATCACTTTCTACTACTTGATCCTCTAGTCCAGTGTTTCTCAACCTTGGCAACTTGAAGATGTCCGGACTTCAACTCCCAGAGTTCCCCAGCCAGCATTCGCTGGCTGGGGAATTCTGGGAGTTGAAGTCCGGACATCTTCAAGTTGCCAAGGTTGAGAAACACTGGACTAGAGGATCAAGTAGTAGAAAGTGATTCTGATGTTGGAAAACTTCCTTAAAGACTCATTTTT